TGCTGTAGCATTCCTCCTTCCTACCATTCTCCAGATGTACATTCCAGGTGGGTCTGGTGTTGGGTGGAAATGACCTGGTCAGGATTAGAATTAAGCGTCACTACCATCTGTTGTACTCTAGCCACTTGACACCCAGGAGTCCCATTAATAGGTAATACGTATTATGGTATTTCTTCATGTTTTTCCACCTTTTATGTTTGTGATACAGTCATAAAAGAGCAAAGAGTATACCTGGATCAGATGTGGGTCGGTCTTCCACTGTAGTGTGATATTTTATTTTTTGGTTCCACACCTCATGGTTTCTCTTTGGGCACTTCCTAAAGGGGGATCATATTTTCACTAGCTCTCCACCAGTTCAGTGTGGGATTCTAGCTATTTTGGGAGAGGGGGGGGGGGAAGATATTGCATCAGAAGTAAACATTTTCCAAAACTGAAAATGTATTTCCAATAGATACTTAGATACTTACCTCCTCTCACATTTCCTGCTCAGCCTCCCCACTTTTGGTGATCTGTGGTGTAAGTCCTACGAACAATCTCGAAGTGATTAATGAGTGCAAATGTGGAGAGGGTGCTGGTTACAATAGGGGTTGTGTCGCACTCCTATTGGTTGAGAGCTGCTGCTGCATAAGTTTTTACATGTGGATATGCAGAAGCAGGAGGTGGAAAGCTAGTGGCAAGCATTGAAAATTTGTGCCAATAGTGGGCAGTACTAATCAAGAAAAGCTATTTTGTGAGAGAAAGTAAGTATTTATCAGAAATACATTTTCAGTTTAGGAAAATGTTAACTTATCTGATTTGTATTTTATTTGATGAACATAATTCAAAAAGAAAACTCGTGTTTATAAACATTGCAACTCAATAAAAACCATATTATATTTATTAAAAAGTACAAACACCATTCTTTCAAACATAGAACCAAACATCAACAAGATACCTTTATTAAGTCTTAAGCAATCTTCAGTCATGTGTCTTCTTTGCTTCGTACTGTATCTATATATTTCTGTGTTGTAAACTACTTGTACCCGATGCTGACAAAACTTTCTCTAAACATTATACACTTGTTGCATTTTTAATAACATTTTCTTTGCTACATATTCAACCCATCCCTAAACTGTATAAATTTATCTCAAGTTAGCTGATGTCTTCTCATTGAAGAAATTTTCTGTAGCTTTTAAACAGATATAATTTTACACAAAATACTTTCAAAATTCATAGTGAAAGGAACTGAAAGAAAAGTTTACAGAAATTATAAAAAAAACTCTCAAACCTATAAATTTACTTTATTAATACATGATACTCTAATATTTGCTCTATCCAAACATATTCAAATTTTATATAATTTTTTTCAAAGCTGTGTTTTGTTAGTAAATGATCAAACCACTTAATGTGACACAACATCAAGGTTTCAACTAAGGCTTGTACAAATGTTAAAGGAGATGCTTTAAGATCAAGAAATTGGTAATATATTCTCAAAGGATGATACATTTTAGTAAATATAGTTATCTTTTGTGATGGGTAGGAAAATTCTAAAAATCATTAATTAGTAGGTTGTTTTGTTTACAGGTAAAACTTTTTGCATCTGTGCAGAAATGACAATATTAACTTTTTTTCTTCATGAGTTAATAGATATCAAAATATAGAAAACATTGATTTTAAAATATTTTTGAGTTAAAATTGTTTATATACTTAGAATTAAATGGGCAGAGCACAGATAGCTGTTTTCTGGCTTTGCGATTAACAGCAAACAAACTTAGAATTAACATGTAAAATTGCCTTCAAAATTTTTAGTGTAAATATATGAAATGCTGGAGGAAAGTTTTCTGGTAGAGTAACTTAGGAGTAAATTGTTTTGTTCATTCTAAACTCTTGTACATGAAAATATACATGCAAGGTAGTACAAAACCTGTGACAACCTGAAAATAATACTATTAATCGTGTTAAGCACATTTCTTCTTACAAATTGCTTCACCCAGTGGCTTAGCAGTAAGTCTGAGGGGTCACACTGTTGAAAACCAGGTTTCTATACCCATGGTGGGTACAGCACGGTTAGTCTACAGTGTAGCTTTATACTTGACAACAAACAAACAAAACCCTACAAATTTCCACCAGACTACTGTACTAATTTACTGAATTTTGTTGATGAAAATCAAAATATTACTTTGTAACATTTTCAAACAAATTTTTATATAATGATAAACTTTATCACACTAAAAACATCAACAGTGTAATATTAGAAAACAAAACGTGACTAGTTTTGGCTATAGGCCTACATCATGCATAAGTTAGTTGAATACTTCTTATATTGTTGGCATTATTTTTCAAAACACATTTAAAACTCAATAAATGATATTTAATAAACAGCAGTGATTTTCATAGAAAAATATATAAAATAGAGAAATATCAAAGCTTGCTAGATGGAGTATTAATGTTTAAAATTTTCTAACACATGATTCAATGGTGTTTCAAATTATTCTAAACGTTGTTAGAGATCCATACTTTGAGAAATTGTTACTCAAAACTGGGTTGATTTGTTCCAACTGGACCTCTACTACTAGCACTAGTGATAAATGTATATTATTATCATTGTTTTTATACTTGTAACTACACACTACTAGGAACTTTAGTAATAAAATCCATTAGAAAGTATAAAATTCATTATGAGTAGCCCAGTTAGGTTATAATCCAATGATTTCAAAGATTTATTTCTAGTAATATGGTTAATATGAAAATGAAAATAAAGACAAACATTCCAAGTTTTGTAATTAAAATTAAATAGTTATAATTATGTTTAGAAAAAAAATTATAAAATCGACATCGAAATACATATTTTAGTGTTCATAAACATTATGCCTGTTTTGATTTTTTTTTAAGCTGTCGTTTATACAGTTGTATCATTTGCATTTTTTCTTATTTTGGATAGCAACAATATGAACACACATTTTTCCCAAGTATTACATCTTCCAAACAATGAAAAACTGATTTTGTAGTATGTTATAAGAGTTACGGTTGTCCTAAATAATACTAACTGTAAACAGTTCTTGTACTGCTAGTCCTGATGCAGCTGCAATGGTGAAATATTGGCTGAAAGTGTTTTATTATTATCTGGGAAGCATTGGTAATTTTTTTTTCTAGCTTTATTGCCAAAATGTTTAAATCCCTCCAATATGCACCACAAATTCTGAAAACAGCACTAACTTTAATGAAAACAAATCTCTAAAGACTAGAGTGCATGTACACACACACACACACACACACACACATTGTTAGTGTGTCTGGAAAAAGCCAAGGCATGAAAATCTACCATGGCAACATTTAACTGACATTCATATTGCTGTATTCACTTAGAAATAATCGGTTATTCATTAAGTATGTTTCAATGCATTCAATATTAGGCAACATGGTATTGAAGATATTGTAAACAAAATTAAAGAATGTTTTAGCTGCTAACAGATTTAAAGTGTGAAGATAGTTAAAGTATTCATGAATAAAGCAGCATTAAAATGAAATAAGATGAATTAATATCCCCATTGCAGACAGAGCTCAGATAGCTCACTGTGTTGATTTTTTTGCTAACAAACAAGGCAAAGTAATTTATCATGTAATGATCTTGTGTTGGTACTACAAAGAACATGTGTGAAAAGACTGTTTTTATCACCATTAGGGCAAAAGCAACTTGCTAGTAACAAGTTTTTTTAACATCTCTTCAACTATAAAATAAGTTTTTCTATGGGTGCTTGGTGTACTTGTGTAATAATAATAGTAAAACTTTTTTGTTACATGAACCTAGTTATTTAATGATTGAAAAATATATCTAATAATGAACATGATAATGTACGTAGATAAATTTAAATCATACCTAGGAATTTTTTTAGGCTTGTTGGTAACACAATTAACCAACATTCTATTGTGTGGGGTTGCAGCTGTTTTTACTATGGTATTAATAATGTTGTATTCCTATGATACTATATATTGTAGAAATTTTGAAATAAAATAATAGGATATGATGAAAATTGAAACATTTGATGATCTCAGTAATAGAAAATGTTCTACTTGAAATTGCCATACATAGTGCCCAGTTTAATATGTCATGATATTTCAGTTGGTATGGGGTTTAAACACTGTTTCATTTGCCATTTTGAGGTTTCTCTTACTGTACAATCAGATGAAAGAATCTGTAGGGTATAGGCAACAATCTGGTTTGGAAAACTGAACTAGAGTAGGAGATGAAAAGTAATCAGTCATGGTTAACCTGCAGTGAGGAATATTTCATAAAAAGTGAAAAAGACTTAAATACGATTGGTAATTGGGGCTGAAAATATGTAATTAGTACTGTTAAAAGTTGAGTAATTACATTAAAGGTAACTCTTTTTTTTTAACCAGATTTTGCAACATCATTTACTTGCACATCTTGAAATATTGAATTTATAACTTAAATGCTTGTTAAAATGAGTTTATCTGCTAATATTATTTATAGTAAATTATTTCTTACAAGATTGACCTTATTTAAAATACGCAGGAATGTTATAACAAAATAAAGATACTTTAATTTCAAATAAGAATAATCTACATTTTTAGTAGCATTTGTAAAGTTACAACTAATGTAAACAAACTTCAATAATTTAAAACTGTAAATCTGATTTTATGTACAATCTTTTTGAGGTAAAGTGGATAATATTATTGTGGACATACTTTTTGGCTTGATAATGATGTAATATTATACATAAGTTTCTTGTTTTTGTTGTTAGTTATTTCAAAGTCAAATATATCTTTGTAAAATTTATCTTTCCACTTAAGGAAGTAATAATAACATGTAAATTTAATGAACAAAGTTGAAAAACATCCAAGTTTATATTGTGATATTTTTTACTATAGAGTCTCATCATATTTATTTTAAGTGTCACATTTTTCAAATTTTAGCGATTGAGTTATGAGAATAAATAAAACAGTAATATAATTTAGTAATGATGTATATATGTAATGTAATGATTTTATTTTTACAGATATGTCACAGGGTCACAGTCCATGTTTGTCTCCTGACCAATCTCCTTTGGTTAGTAGAAAATCGCGGTCTCCATTAACAACAACTTTTGTTGGAGGCCCTGCTTTAACTTCTACAACTACGACAACCCAAGACCAGTTCCCATCATCAGGGACAGTCTATCAAGTAAGTTTATATGTCCTGCCTTTAGAATTTTGGTTTACGTTTGTAAAGGTCTCTAGTTCCAAGCAGGTGAAGTACATAACATAATCTTCAACATAAATTGTATACCAAGATGGTTTGTTATTGAATATTGAAAATCAAATTACAACCCATGTAGTAAATCTTCAACATAAATTGTATACCAAGATGGTTTGTTATTGAATATTGAAAATCAAATTACAACCCATGTAGTAAATCTTCAACATGAATTGTATGCCAAGATGTTTTGTTATTGAATGTTGAAAATTAAGTTACAACCCATGTTGTAAATCTTCAACATAAATTGTATACCAAGATGTTTTGTTATTGAATGTTGAAAATTAAGTTACAACCCATGTTGTAAATCTTCAACATAAATTGTATACCAAGATGTTTTGTTATTGAATATTGAAAATCAAATTACAACCTATGTAGTAAATCTTCAACATAAATTGTACACCAAGATGTTTTATTATTGAATATTGAAAATTAAGTTACAACCCATGTTGTAAATCTTCAACATAAATTGTATACCAAGATGTTTTGTTATTGAATATTGAAAATTAAGTTACAACCCGTGTAGTAAAATTATCTTGCGTAAAGTAAAACTTGAAATAAAAGTTTTGAAAAGGGTAACATATAGTTGCTGTTTGTCTTCAGGTATGCTCATACTGATGTGGTGTGGACTATATTATATGTGATTTCATTCTACACCAGAGTTTTACACACATACCTATATCACTAAGCATGTTAGTGTTTAGTAGGTAAGGATGAGTTGGGAAAAAATGGATGTCACTTATTATGTATTGCTCATCATAGTCTCAAATCTCTCTTATAACAAACTAAGAAACTCTTATGAGTACCTAACTTAGGTTGTCAAAAGCTATTAAGATCTCCAGCTTAGCCAAAAAACATTGCTAAAGTAGAGACTCTGCAAGTAGTGTAACAGCCAATGTTCTGCTGATTATTCTAATTCTGGCATCAGAAAGGCTAGCTCACCAATACTTCAAGTTGTTATGATGATTTACACACCAAAATGTTGCATTTCAACTTGGGGAGTGCAGAAACAGTATACCATTTCACTAACTTCAACACATGATGTCAATCAAGACAACTCATCATGCAGGCTAAACTGCTGTCTTCATACCAACTTCCATTCATTAAAAAAAGAGGAGAAACAAGTAATAAAAAAAAACAAAGGATGATGTAGGGGTGGCAATGCCAAAATGTACAGAAACAAGGTAGGTATGAATACACAAAACTACAAAAATCCCTACGTAAATAGCAACTATGTCAATGTTAGATACTTATGGAAATTAGCCATTGTAAGACTTTGTAGCATTATTTAGTTTAAATGCTTTTATTCAAATCTGAATTCATGCAAATGAAAGAAATTCAACATTTAGTTGTAGATAAAAGTATTTTCTTGGAAATATTTGACTACTTATGTAGGGGCTTTTGTATGGTTTTGTGTATTCATCCCTACATCATCCTTATTTTTTCAAAATTTTTTTACTACTTGTATGTATATATATACACATACCTGCCAGACAGTTATAGTTAACAGACTTTTAGCTTTGAGATGTAACACTACTTTGTTTCTTGACCTTGGTGGATATTCTTGAATATGATAGAATCTAAATAAAATATCAATAATAATAATCAAGGTCTTAGAATGACAGGCATTATTCCATTTGAACTGTTTTTAATTTGATAAGGTTGAGCATTATCCAAAAATCATATTGATTCACTAATAGAACATTAATATTGATGTAGGAAATTGTTAACGTAGTATAACCTGACACTAGTTCATATTCTTTGAATTTTAGCAAGAATCAGTTGGAGGAACGACATATTTTTTTGCTGCAGAAGAAACTGGAACATCTCCAAAAGAAACACCTGCACCAGTTGTTATGCCAGATTTTACACTGTACTCGGGAAATCCTGCACATATTGAACACATGAAACCAAAAGCCAACGCCCCTTCATTCTTTCTTCCTGATGAACTCAGAATGGTAATGTTCCTTAGGGTTAGATATGCTTTTGTAAAATAGTTACATTCAAGCAAACTGTTTTTAGAACCTGTACATTTAGACAACATGAGTGCCCACTTAGCAGGTCCATTAAAAATAATTTATTAACTTCTGAAAAGTACTAAAATTATATGTTTATTATGTTTTATAGTTTTTCTCTTTTTAGCAAATTAGCTGACTTGTGATGCACATTTTAGAAAGAATATTTCTTCTTTCTGTTTAGTTTCAGACAGTGGTTTGTTCTATTATAACAAAACCATAGCTGAGTCATAGATTACATATTTGTATTTTAAGTGTACAGAATGTATCAAAACAGGGTTGATTAATTTACATTATTAATGTTGTGAGTAAACAAATATTTAAGTTCACAAACTTAGTTTTAGTTCACAATCAACAAAATGACTGTATGGTTTATTTATATGTTGTTGTTTTTTCACAAACTACTTAATTTTGTAATGAAATTCTTTAATTTTTACAAAGTGTCATGTAATGAAAAAGATATTGAGATTAACTTTTTTTTATAGAATGATCATGGTTATTTACATTTGTACAAGTGTATGTTGACTTTATATAATTTAATAAATAGTGTTAAAATCACTGCAGTGTTTTATCATTCATTGAAAGAAATATTTTGTGCAGTATTCTAGAATTACTACTGCTTCTTTATTTTTATCAGGATATTTTGCATAGGCGCACTTTAACCTTAACTGAAGGCAATCCTCAACACTATAAAGGTAAAATTCAGTCATTTCAATTTTTGTGGATTTTTTCATAATTTTTTTTCTATAATATTGTATATTTCATACCAAAATATCGTAACACCTGTAAAATGTTCAAAAGCTGACAGTGTGTGATCTTTAGACTTATCAGGTTGGATGATCTATGTCAAAGAGATAATAAAATTCAGTAAACGTGAAATGACCTGACCTATTTGATGATCATAGTGTACTATGAGTACTAGATAAAGGATGTAGTATTTAAAAATGTAATAGGCATCATACTAATGTCTTATGACAAGTATAATTATAATCAGGCTTCACCATCTTGTAAAAGGCATTCACACCACAACAATTGTTGTTGTAATAAATGGCTTATATAAATAGTGTTCTGACCACTGCTGTTCTTGTTGTATTCTATCCGGCCTGAAGAGCTTTGAATTAAGTGAAACATGTCGTTGGCAATGAATATGGAAAGTACAGTGTGGTTGGAACACTATTATTATATATTCTTCTAATTCTTGAAAATTCTTAAGGGACTCTAAAACAAAAGTAGTGTTAAACATATAATAGGCCTAATACTAATGTCTTATGACAAGTATAATTATAATGTTTAACTTGTTTTGTTAGGTATTTTGTAAGTAAATTTTGATCAGTTAGTACATTCATAGGTGGAAGGTGTTAAAATCTGTTCAGCTATACTGTGATCATGCTAGTATGCTGAAGTGTGAAGCACAGTTTGACTTCATTAAGTGTAAACTCATGGATATTCATCAAACAGTTCTGATAGTTTTACTATGATTTTACTCTTAGTGATTCTTTAGTTGATACATGATTGAAAAATTTAAAAAAATTGCTTGTGCTAAATAAGAATGGATTTTTATTGGAATGGAGATATTTTTAGTGTGTAATTTACTTTACTATGGAATTTTTTTTATTATGGCATGCTAAAAGGTTCACATACTGTCTGAATGTTATTATTATTATCAAATAATTGGTCTTTCAAATTCAATAACTTACATTGGTATTAAAGTAAGTTGTTGGAACAGATTGTTATATGTATCATCTTGATAGTGCACTTGCTAATATAATTTGTGTATTTGTTCTCTGTATTTATTCATATGAAAAGGCTGACTGCCTAATTCTCTTCTGTATATGGTGAAAATTTTAAGGAGAAATTAACTGATTTACTATAATACATGTTTATAGCAGATATTTCTTCAAACTGAAAAGATGTAGCATTTATTAGCAGTATAGGGATCTATGTTGCAGTTAGCACATTTTCTTTAACTGTTTCATGTCAGGTAAAGTTTTTTTTTGAGACATTAAATAAAAGGCTTTTTATATCCAAGTTAGCCAAGATATATGTTAAATTAATTAATATATTTTGGAACTATTACAAAAGAGTTGGATGATCTTTTTTGAATTAAATACTAGTAAAAGACCTATTTTTGTGGAATTCTGTAAAGAATCAATCTTTTGATATTAGTTAAATCTTTTCTAAATTAAATATTTCTAAGGTTGTGTTTTGTCATAATGCATGTACATGGCAACTGGTCATATACATGACATTCATGTACCATACATGAGGATTAAGAAATTTATATACACATAGAAAACCTAATAGTAATACTAATTCCTAAAATTAGAATGTTCATAGTTAAAAATATTTTATGATGTTTGTAGTAAATTGTATGATCTGTATTTTGTAATAAAAAAATAATGATATAATGTTCATCCACCAAAAGGTTTTGTATTTACCCTTTAGAGCTTCCCTCTGAGGTTGATAACTACCACAACCTGTGTCCCTTGGAGCCCACAAAAGGTGCTCCCACCAAATCTGCAACATTTCGTTTTGTGACTTCTGTTTATAAGGCCACAAACATCAAAACCGGTGTTCATTACTGTTTGAGAAGGATACATGGTAAGAAAGAAGTGATTCAGTATTTTAAAATTGAGTAGGTTTTCTTTAGTAGGTAATGTTCCTTTAAATGTATTGAGTTTTGGACATTATTACATATTGTTTGATATTTCAATAGGTTTTCGACTGACCAATGCAAAGTGTATGACAGTAGTAGAAGCCTGGAAGAAAATTCAGCACTCTAATTTAGTGCATTTAAGAGAAGTCTTTACTACCAAAGCCTTCAGTGATCATTGTAAGAGACTTTTAGTTATTTTAGCATGAATTAAAAAATCTAATAATCAAAATTAATTTTTAATTGTTCTCTGTCTTTTGAACAAAAAGTGGTGTTATATTTATAGGCTCTAGCCAGTTTTTTTTATTATTTATTATCAAAGGAAGGTGCAATGTGAAGGTGGGAGCATTCAACATTTTAATAAATACTGAGGAATTTGGATTAATATAATTTTAAACATCAAAGGAAAAATACTAAATTTTAAAAGCTGAAGTTTAAACATGAATCATATTTTGCAATCAAACTGAATTATAAATACCTAAATACAGTTTGGCTAATTATTTAATTGAAGAATAAAATACTGACTTGTATAGTAAGTCTTTATTGGGTAAAGATAAACCTACTGGAAAAACATCCCAATGAAGACAAACCACTCTGTCAGTGTTCACATAAAAAAATATTTTGTTGAAATGCTTTTTCATTGTTTTTTCTACTGCTAATACAACTAAAAATAGAAATCAAAATTAAATAGGATTTTTACCATAGCTATGATTTGAGAGACAATAAATCACTAATATAATTAGTACTAATAAAGACAAATTCAGTTATTTAAACATAATGATAAACTATTATAGATAAGTATTTGTTCTTAATGTGAAAAGAGAGGTTAATGATTCATTCAGCATTTGCATTTGCACATTTTTTATGTATAAAAGTAAAATTTTAACATCCAGATGATGAAAATTGCTTTATAATGCATCCTGGAGATACAGACTAAAATTATCTTCTTGCTGCTCTTTTAATCCGATTCACCATCGTATAATTTTCAATAAAATTTATATTTTTGGTCTGCATTTTGCTTCAGTTCTACACTGCAGCACCCAAACAGTTTTCTGTGGTGTTATGGATAGAAATATTCTATCCCATTTTAAGGACCTCGCCACACAGAAAATTTACTTGGATGTGTTGTCATCTATTAAGAGGAGAACTCTGCGGGAAACCAATGCATTGTAGAAAACATCCAAATGTTACTATAATTAAAAAGTAATAAATAGAAAATTAAACATTCTGATGTTTTGTGTCAAAAATATAAGGGGGAACCATTTTTTTAAAATGGTTGTGTTTCTGGGTCTCAAAAAATTCAAGTAGAAACACTAATACAGAGGTGCTTAAAATTAATGTTAATGTATTGAAGAGCAAACTACTAACTTTTTGAGGTGAGTTTAAGAACAAATTTTACTATAAGTGCCAAATTTAACTAAGAGAACAGTATTCTTGTTAAAAAAAAAAGAAAGAAAGAACATTAATGAAAGATTTTCATTCACAATATTTGTAAAAGTAAATGCTTTACTACTTTTTCAAACTAAAATGTTTTTCCTATTAGCCTATTATAAGTTAGTCTATCCTGTAATTTAAAATGCATTTTGTTTTAGCTTTATTATTTTAGTGAATAACAATCTAGAATTTACTTTATTGCAGTTTTAATTTTTATTAATTATTTATATACTAGTATAAAAGCCTGTCAAAAATGATGGAAAACCATTATTGAATGATTAATGAAAATTATAGAATTTAACTAAAACAAATTTGTCTGTACCTTCAAAATGCACCTACTATTCACTTATTTCATCAGTCTCGAGGTAATTCTTTAATCACCACATTTTTAGTAAAAAGTATGCAGAAAAATGCAGAAAGTACATGTGCACTCTGAAAGAGACTTAAATAGCACTATTTTAGCCTTTTCACTGTATTCTAGGTCAAGAAGTAAAAACATAATGCAGACATTTTGACACAAATTTTCAACTCATTTGACTGTGCAAAGGATAAAAGATGTTTGGTAGTAATAAACGTTTATTTTTCTTTTTTGTTTTAAGGCCAAGTAGGTAACATATGTGTTAAAATACCAAAATAATATTTATTAATCAACATTTATTCATTACTTCAAACTTTTTAAACACTGACTATAACATCAGTAATAGTAGGCCTACTTATAGTCTAATTCAAGCATTTGGCCTAATACATAAATGTAACATAAGGCTTAGCAGAAACACTACTTGGTAAATTTTATTTTGCTTTTGGCTACAACTCAACGTCATAAAACTTCTGAATTAAACTGTTTTACTATTATATCACCAAAGTTATCAAAAAAGAAAGAATAAAAAACCTTTCTAATAAATCAACATGAATATTGAGAACCATAGTTGGCCTAAGAATAATCAGGTGATAGTTTTGTTGCTAAGCGACAATGTATATTATTGAGTATTACTAAAAAAAGGAGCTTGAAAGCATTCTCAACAGAGTGACAAATGGAATATGCCTTTTATAGTTGTACCATGTTATAACTAATTTTTGGACACTTATTTACTATGTTTGTCTGTAATTATAATATAATGATGCAAATTTTCTTCCTATAATTTTTCACATTTTTTTTTATTTTATCCTTCAGCTATTGTGTTTGTATATGATTACTATCCTGGAGCTGATAATCTGATGAACCAGTATTTCAGCCAGCCAGGACTCACCATTGGTATCAATGGATACCATTCAACAATGTTCAATAATGTAGATGGAATGGCTAGATCGTACGCACAAAACAAAGGTGAAAAGAGACATGTATTTTTAGACTAATGTTTTTATGAGATTTATCTTTGTTTGATTCCTATATTTTAATAGTATTTGTAACACCCAAGAACAGTTCACTTAAATTATGTGTTATATAGAATAATATATATCCTTATTCTCACCCAGTCACCCAAGTACTATATGTTGAAATGCCTTATCAATATTAATTACATTTTCTTTTAGCAAAAGTTAATATATCTATAATGACTAAATTTTTATTCTTTTTCATATACTTGTCTGACTTTTTCCACAGTTGTTTTATACTTTATGAGTCACATATCTGAATTAAAAGTAATGATTAAACTGTATAAGCTTAATAATATAAAAAAATCATAGGCAGAGCATTTATTGTTAAGTTCATATTTTAAAATATTCCATACTGGCATTTTTGACTTTTTTTTTAGTTTTACACAAAGTTTGAGTCTTCATATCAAGGTATCGGTAATATTGAACAAATGTTTCTAAGAGAAAGTGTATTACTGTTGAATTCAACTCTTCCAGCATAGAGTTTGTTGATGTAACCTTTTAATATGAAACCTAATTTCACATAATTCCTGCCCTTAAGTAGCACAATATTCAATATAAATATATGAGTTGAGTGCCTATCATATGATGGTAAATGCTGAATAATATTTCTTCTGAAAATTAAATCAAAATAACTGTTTTATGAAAATGTTTTCTAAAAGATAATTATATTGTGGTAACATTATACATACATGTATATTTTTATGTTTTGTGTTTGAATCTTCTTCTTGGTAAAGCCTTATAGATTGAACCATGCAAAAATACTGGTTCTGACCTGCAATTTATTAACTGTGATGGCAAAGGCAATGAATTTTATGGAGAAGGGCAAATTCATGAACATATAACTTTTCATTAAAAATGCTTTTACATTTTTTTGACTAAATTTCTAAAAATCTCTTATCAAAGGTGAAAAACATCAATAATAATGTATTTTTGCACCATCTATTATGTTAAGAAGATATATAAGTTTTTTTGACACATTAGGTGACTCATGTTTATTATGTAATATGATATTATCCTTTATAAAATATATATATATTTTTTAGCCACAGTTGAGCAGTTCATATAATGGCTCTGAGTTTTGGACTCAGGAGGTCAAACCCTTTGATTGATGTATTTGACCACATCCAAGGTCTCATAGATTTATTTATTCTAATCCTGCCTAAAAGATTTTCAATTTGAGGGTGTACACCTGCCCCATGTTTTAGGTATTGCTGGTGCACCAAAATGTAGCTAATAAAAATGGAAACAAAGGTCATGTAGATTAATTTACTCTAATCCTGCCCAAAATAATTTCAAGTGCCATGGCTATTGAGGTTTCCCTCTTTGTTTGAAATATTCAAAGAGCTTGTTGTAAATATGATACTATGTGTATAGGAAAGTAAATATAATAAATATGTATATATATATATATATATATATATTAACATAAAATCCTGATTTGACTGGGATTTAAACTCAAGACTTCCAGATGATAGTCGAGCACTATAACCACTGTGCCACCCAGTCTTTGTAATTAAATGTTAACAAATCATTCAAATCTCAAATGTAAAGTATCATGTTATTGTGTTTTTTCTAATATTGTAATGTCTTTCTCACAACATGATGAGTTAATAATTTAAAAAAGTTGTAAAAAATCTCCACTGAAATGGGATTTCAACTCTAGACTTTTGCTGGAGACAAACCACTGAGCCATTGTGAATGTACCAACAGACATTCAAGTGTTCTGACAAAGTTAGCATTCGGAAAAGAGAGTGGCTTTTATTATATAGATATAATTCTACTATGAAATTTCAGGAGTGTATGAGGTTAGATTTACTTTAGGATAAGCAGTTGGGATTTTTTTACTTTATCCAAAACAAATTAATTAAATTTGTAACAAACAGAATTCTAAGTTTGAATATTTCAGTTATAGTTTTATTTTGTAAGTGAACGTAAAGATCAGACATAATTTTTGAAACTAGATGTCATTTGCCTTTGTGAAAAATAAGTTACTGTACTGGAATGATTTAATTACTTAAATGATTAGGCATACAAAATAATACAAAAATTTCATTAACAGAACACGATGAAAGTGATTCCATGAAGAGTTTTTCAGTTAAAATATTCAAAATGAATTTAATATTTTGTTGCTTTCTAGGTGTATGGTATTTCTTTAGTATTTAATGCTATTGCTTTTCAAGCCTAATTTTTGATATGCTGGGTTTTCATTTGTAAAAGACATTTATGAAGAATAAAAGTAATTTGTCTCTAGAGATTGCAAATGAAAACTATTGCCATAAAAATATTAAGAGTTAAATTTATTTAATTATATTTATGTAAGTAAGAAGCATTTCTTGGTTAGTTGATAGTAAATATTTAAAACAGAAATAGCCATTCCAAAAATTTGTAGCAGAAGTTGAGAAAAACATTGATAGTTACAAACAAAATTGAAACTTTATACATGTTGCCTTGTATTAATATTTTCCATATTTGCACCAACTATTAGAAATATTTTCAAAAGTGTAATGTTATTGTGTTTTCATGTGTATGTGTGTTGAGAAATTATATAAGGTTTGACAACATTGAAAATCACTAAAATGTGTAGTATGTGTGCTTGGTGGTATAAATATGTTAATCCACTAGAATACACTGATACATAGAAAAATATGTGATGTATATACATAGTCCTGCTTATTTCTTTTGTTTTATCCAGTTAGAATAATGATTCATGTGTTGGTTCCTTTATACATTGATACATGGAATATCAATGTTTATTTTCAGTTGAATATCATGTCCACGAATACACAATTTAGTGAATAATCAAGTAAAAACATAACGTATTTCAGATAAAACAAGAAATTAAAATATCTTTTTGACATAGAGTAGTTGTATCATGTATACTTATATGATTTTTAAGAATTAGAATTAGAAAACTTACATCAAATGCTACTTCATTGTTATCTGTGTTATATATTTTTTATCAGTAAAGCTGTGTACATCTTTAACTTTTGTTTAAATTATTTTACCGCAAAAATTAAGTTTCAAGATTTTTTATATATATAATATATATCATAATTTTTTGTAATAAAACCTGAAGTTTTAATATTCTTTTGTACCCTGATGAACAATAAGCAAATAGGTAGTGAGCAGAAAGTAGATCCAACTTGACATATTACTCTTCCTAAGTTATTTATTCATTAGTGTTATATAGGTGACATATGTATATTTAGAAAAGTTAAAAATTAAAGAAGATGATACAGCATAAGGAAGGGTAGCATGAATCTTATGCAGCATATCCAAACCTTAGAAGAAATATAATTAAATGGAAATTTATGAAAGAGGAGAAAAGAAAAAAATTGCAGCCACAATACAAACATCCAACACCGTGGCCCAAATCATAAGGAGGGTCATCATGTAATGTGCCCTGGTTTTTAGAGGTGATTGAATCTATCCATTTTAACCTCAACTCTTTTGGCCTCACATGATTAAGAAAAAAAAAGAAATTGGGCAGATGTGGGTGCTCTAGCCCACAACGTTCCCCACATTTTGCTGTCTGCAGCTGGATGTGCGAAAGTGGTTGCTCACAAGAAAAAAAAATCAAAAATAAAATTCAGAAATGAAAATAAAAAGGCAGCAAGAAATAATAGAATACATTACATCAGGGGGGGGAGACAGCAAAACTGTCCTTGAAGTTAGCATTCCAGCCTGCAATATGATGTTTGGACATAAATACCAAGATGTTAAGGTATTGCTATACTAAGCTCAACCAATATTATAAGTATAGCTCCCATCCTTCACCCTTCCATGCTACTATCTGGATCTTCAATGGTTCTAAAGACATCCACACAGTAGCAGGTCTTATATAGGGAAGGTGATATAATTACCACTACATTAATCTACCTATACAAGATATGAAATGTCCAATAAGTAGTTCCAATTATTTTCCTTACGATAAATTTTAGAAATTATTTTTTATTGTGCATATTATAATATTGTTTAAATCACTATTTTCAAATTTGTATAAACATTTTTTGTATTTATTATAAAATAATTTAAAATATTTAATTAAAGTTTTCTCATTAAAAATCAATTTATGTACTAATATATTAATATTAGATATTAAGAACTGTAAATTATTACAAATTCTACAATACCTAAGAAGCTGTGAGTGAAGAATGCTCTGTATGGCATTTGGTGGTACATTACTGTTTGGAGAGGAAAGTCCAAAAATTTCAAATGTAAAATCATTTCTTTTGTCATAAATATTAATATTACAATAATTATCTTAATGTTGAAATCTAAATAATGTGCTTCAGTATTTGATATAGAAGTGTTCTCATTCTTTAAAACTGTAGGATAAATGTTACATATGTAATTACTTATTCATGGATTATTAATACCAATCAAATCATCAATATATTTGTATGTTAAGGAAAATAATTCTGGATTAAAAGTTATTTCTGAATTTATTTTCGTAATAATGAAGATATAAATTGGCAACACAGCTCAAATAATTAGCACCCATCGGTATAACATTTATTTGTTTATAAATGTACTTATCAAAATAAATATAATTATTTTATACACAAACTAAAAATGCTTTTAATCTTATTAAAAGTTTGTTTTTCTATTTCTATGAGTATATCTATAAATTTGTTTATTAAAGAATTTATCACTATTCCCAAATCATTAAGTGGTATAGATGTAAACAATGTAGGAAAATCAAAAATATTTTGTATTACAGAATCATGTAAAATTTTAGAAGTTTATAAATCATTAACAATTTTATGTTTAAAATTAATTGCTATATATGACGATTTTATTATTGACAATTCTTTAATTATATCATTTAAATTATTTACCTTAAGCCTAAATTTTATAATTTCAGAAATTAAGTGTTTAACATGATTATTTTGAAAATTAAATGTCATTACCATTTTTGCTAATTCTTTTATCTTTGAAATGTTTAGTTTATATATAGACTTGTAAAAATAACTATGAATCTTTGTAAGAATATGAAACTTGTTACCTAAATCTGTACACAAATTGATAAAATTAATCTATTTTATTTTTACCTTTTCCTCTAGGTTTTCTTTTTTTAGACTTCTTGCTAATACTATCAAATAAAAAAAAATTGCCAATACAATTACTATTACTTGAACTTATAGGAGTAGCACCATTATAATCTTGATTCAAACCATAAGGATATAAAGTTTTATATTTAAGAATGTAATTTTTTTTGTAATTAATTTATATCTATATTAACAATTTCTAAAATTGTAATTACTACTGAAGCAAAAGGATGAATTCTGAAATGTTCTAATTCAATCGTATTTACAACATTATTTTTACTTTGAGATCTATGCAGATTCATGCGAATATGTAGATTAGAAGTTTGTCCCATATATTGCATATGATATATATTATATGTTAATAAATAAATTACCTTTTTTAATTTGCAAAAGGTATAGTTACAAGTAAGTGGATGAAAAGAACTAAGAGGACATGTGAGGCATAGCTTACTATCACATTTTCTGACATTGTAGCCAGAATAAAAAACTATAAACAGCTAGCTAGGCTGAATACAGTGGACACATGATGGATAACTAGTGTCCACAAATTAAATAAAAGAAAATAATCATAATATATATAATGAAATGGGCATGTGCATAAATTAATACAGTACCACGCAACATTCATTGATACTAATTATTTAGAAAAGCTAAAAATTAAAAAATAGAATACATCATAAGGAAGCATAGTGTGAATCGTACTTTGATGTAATGTATTCTATTATTTGTTGCTGCTTTTTTATTTTAATTTTAATTATTATTATTTTCTTGTGAGCAACCACCTTCCTACATCTGGCTGCAGACAATGAAAAGTGGTAAAGATGTGGGCCTTGTTGGCTAGAGCACCCACATATGCTCAATTTTTTTTTCTTAATTGTGTGATGCTGGTGATTCATGCTACCTTTCCTTATGAAGTATTCTCTTTAATTTTTTGGCTTTTCTAAATAAATAAATTATATATAGATAGACAGATAGATATGACACCTATTAAACAATGTGGCTTATAACATTAGTGAATAAATAGCTTAGGAAGAGTAATATTTCAAGTTGAAACCAACCACATTTTAAAAATGTATGTACTTATTACTCATTGATGACCAGGGTACTATAGGAGAATATTAAAAATCTTCTCTCTCATGAATTTACATTTAATTATATATATATATTACTGATGCTTTCTTATGGAATTTTTTAATCATCAAAAGCAGTATCAAACTGATGTGACATTTTTATTCAGTCCTTCACTGATTTTTGATAAAAGGTATTAATTTTAATATATTTATCAAATTAATTTGTACAGATGTTTTTTGTACTAATACTGTTCATGTTACTACTACTTCCTGGCTTTTTTTTTTTCATTTTAAAATGAAGGGAATATCGGGAGATTTATCTCAAACCTGACAAATATTTACATTATTAGTATATTTATACATTTTACTTTAGGTATGGGTTTTTTAATTTTTATGTTAGAATGTTTTTCAGCATTCCAATTTTCAAAAAAATATACTGCATGAATTTACCTTGAATAACTATCGAATGACTGTTTCACTTTTTTTTTTCTTTGTAAATCAGGTAATATTATAGTTTCTGTATTATGGTTTTGAATTTGTTATTTTTGTATCATGAAATATGTAAATTTGGTTTGCATTTGACACATGAATAATTATGTTTGTCTGTAGGAAGTTTATGCAGTATGTGGTTTTGCATTTGCTACTTCTGTAAGTCTACGAAGCTGATTTTGGGGATGATTGTGTACCTGACTCTATATATGTTTTTTGAGTTTTGCTGTAATCATCTCTAAAAATATTTAAGACAAGAATGGCCTCATACTTGGCACATTTTTTGGAAAGATTTTTTTGTTTTTTTACCATATACCAGATTTGTTACAAATACTGAAATGGTTAAACATTATTGATAGAATATTGTATAATTATATAGATTGTAGTTTTCTGGTTTGTTGTTCTTACACCTTTATGTTGCAAAGCTAGACCAAGTGAGTTATAGCAAGTGTGGCTGTTTTTGTCTTTAAAAAGGTTAAATGCAGCTTGTTAATTGATGATAAAAAAATTTAGTATGAATAGAAATTTTGTTGTAAACAATATTACAGTTTAATTTGTCTTAAGCTTTAGGTGGGTTGAGGCAACATGCAGGACTCTTACCTGAGAGCCAGATTTGGGCCTATGTTGTACAGCTAAGTTCAGCCTTACGAACAATTCATGCTGCTGGCCTTGCATGTAGAGCCTTTGAACCTACAAAGATTCTTATCACAGGGAAGTCCAGGTCTGTATATTGTGTATTCATTTTAAATAATCTGTACAAAGGTGTTATAAATTTAGTGTGTGATAGTGCATCATACAGGGTTGTGATTGAGGCTGTTAATATGTTTCCAGAAGTTGTGTTAATCTCTACCTTGATCTAGTATGTTATCAGTAGGTATTATATTCTTTAATGTGTTACTGAATTACATCAACCTTGCTGTCAATTTAAAGTGAAGTAGCCTGACATGTTCTTGGAAGACACCATGCAATGTTTTGAAAAAGTTTCACTGCAAAAAAATCAGTTTGAAAACTGTTCACTATTCATTTTAAATAATATGTACAAAAGTGTTATAAATTTAGTGTGTGATTGTGCATCATTAACATTGTGGTTTGGTGGTGATTACACAGTTTACTTATGTAAAAATGTGGACTACCAGAGATGTTATTACTACGTAGTGGAACTACCAATATACAACCAACTTGGTATGTTAAAATACCAACATGGTACATTCCTATTACCAGTGGTGGGATTCAACTGGTTCGCACTGGTTCGTGCAAACCTGTTCTTAGAATTTAATGACCTCCACGAACCGGTTGTTAACAATC